TTTATTTTGTACGAACAAAATAAATATAAAAACAATAAAAAATTATACTTCAGAAGTTAATTTAGTATCAAAAACGTAAAATATTTGAGTAGCCCAAGACATAGACAGAGATTGCAGCGCCACAGCACTGCCGAAAATTTAAATTTGCCGACTGTAATTCTTTCGGATAATCGACGCTCTACTGTAAATATTTGGGTCAAATAAGTGAGATTGTTTGTCCAATTGAAGACACTTCATTACTAGTTTTAATCAGAAAAGTTTTTGGTATGAGCTTAGATATCATTAAAAATTTTTAAATTAGCATCATGCTATGTTTGCTTGAATGAATGAAATTAGAAACATTATTTAAAACATTATCGTTACTCGTTGAGAAAGCTAATCACAATTTTAGTAATATATTAATTTAATTTAAAAAATAACAAAATTCAAAAGATTAGTTATTCAGAGTCACTGAATGTAAATAATTGTCATAAGATCACAATGTCATACTTTAGAAAGGCCTCTCGGTTGCATCTCTCCATTGAAATTGTTGCATTTTGAAGGTATGCATGGGTACTGGTGATGCATCTCCGTACCAAACCAATTCAGATGCCAGTACATGTGACCTTATAATGATGGGAATGCCCAATGATCATCTGATGAACTGTGTCGTCAGTCTTCTTCCTCACCATAATTAAATAGTACACACAACTGAACATTTGTCATTTATTGAAACTAATTTATTTGCGTTAGTACCCACTGAATGTATGGTTTCCATAATTGAAACCATTTCTCACTTAACATAGTGGCTGTAGTTGACACCAGATATCAACTAAGATGTTCAAAATATGAATTTAATGTGTAGTATAGCATCTACCTGTAATGGACAAGCCATTATGGCTTGTCCATTACAGGTAGATGCTATTGATTTCAGTTCCTCAGCACACAGTTGTATTGTTGAAAACATGGCCGAACTCGCAATAGCCATGTGGAAAGATCCTGTTAGTGCTCTTAGACCGCAGTTATATAGTTTGAAATTGCTGCATTCTTTATACTTTATTTCTGGATCAGTCCTATAACTCGTTTAGGGAAATTGGAACTTGATTAATCAAAAGTTCTTATATTAATTTATATATATTTTACTTTCCAGTTGTTATACAAAGGAAAGTATGATGATCCGGCAAAAAATAACCCTCCAGATTTTTACATTTTTAGACTTGATACACCTTGAAACGTCGAAAATTGCAAAAAAAAAAAAAAAATTCGGGGATAATCTCTCGGGGGGGCACGAATTTGTTCACCCTGTTTGAAACTTAATAATTCCTATGCTTTTTATCGAAAATTTCTGAAATTTTGCAGGTATGTTTGTTTATTAGGGACATTGATGGTGGTTAAAGGTCGAAAGGGTAGAGAGATAATGAGACTCTTATGTATCTCTAATAGAGTCGGACTTCAGAACGATTTTACTCGTTATTAACATTTACAACTTATTATAAAACTCATCCCTACCCTTAAAATTAAGCGTTTTGCCATTTTATAGTAGTTAAAAATATAAAAAGTTTTTTTACTAAAATGTCGTAACAGATGGCGCCACCAAAATTTTAAATGTTGCCAGGAAAGTTGAACAATTCATTGTTGGTTTTATTTTATAATTATGTATGTAATTGATTAAACCATTTGAAACAGAATAATCAAAATTTATTTAACATAATTAACTACTAAAATCGTGACTTTATTAATAGATGAAAAATTTTAATTTAGAAACTAAAGTTTTTTATGCGATTAATAAGAATTTGTAAAACAATTTGAATATACATTTTCTTAGTATTACAAGTTACTTTCTTTTAGTCATTTAGAAAAAAAATCATCATTAAATCAAACTTTTTTAGTACTTGTTTTTTTTTGTTCTTAAGATTTAATAAGCGCAGTTTTTCCGAAGTCTTCGAAGACGGGATTTCCCTGGCTTCCTTCTTCATCCAAAGTATTGTCTCGAGAACTAAATAAAACAATTTCATTTAATTCTTGAATTTTCATTGATTTAATTTATATGAAATATAACTTCACCTTCTAAATTGCGCCACTTCCATGTCTTTATCCATGCTATCCGTTCTTACTTCAGTTTTGTTTGGACAACGTTGCATGAGAATGAAAGGTAATTCGGCTGACACCTCTCTAAGAAAACAAAATATATACAGTATATATTGATTAATGGATTCGATCTATTGTGTTTTTTAAAAATAATCTTGATATAGTATAATTATCATAATTTTATACAACTGAATAATTGAGCCCGTTTTGTTTGAACAAACTTTCTCATTGGCTCGCTTATCCAGCTGTATTTAAAGTTTCTTTTTTTAATAACTGGGCTCATTGCCTGGTAAATTAAAAATTGAATTAATAAGTTTGTCATACGTGCAATGGCACACCCAGAGGGGAGCCAAGGGGCTCTGGCACCCTCCAAAGAAAAAGAAAACAGGAAAACATTTTTGGGAAATCATCTAGTAATTTAGATGCATCGAAAAATCCCCAGGTTTATTGGGGGATGGTCCACCGGATATGTCGGGCCCCGTCCCATTATGGGCCTTGCCGAAACCATAATCAGCTTGCTTAAACAAGCCCTCTTAGTGCTCACAGGGCGAAAAGAGTAAAAAACAAAAACATACTATTAGTCATTCACTCACCCTCCTAAAGCTCCTAAATACAGCTTCACTTTAACATAATAAGAAACTATAATCCCAAATGCATCTCTTTGATCTTGTTCAGAAAGACTAAACGAAAATATTTTAAAATTATTTGACAAGAAATAATTTAAAACTAAATACAAAATGCATTTCCTTACAGAGTAGAAGAGGCTAAGTTTACATCGTCCGATTTTAATTGTCCATCTAAGGCAACGCCACGGCGACGTAATTCAGTGGTGGGTGTCAACATTACCACTTTCTGAATGGAGGCACCGGGAAGAATCGGACATCCTTTACTGCCGTTAACATTTTTCTTTATTATAAAAAAAATAATAACCTGAAGAATGCAAAGATAAATATAAAAATACTTACTCCGTATCGACCGAAGCAATTATCTCTTTGCAGTGTCCACTTGCAAACATGCAAATGTCGATATTTTGAACGGCTGAAGAAGTAATTTTTCAGATAAGATTTATACTTTTGAGAATAAATCGCTACATCAACTTACCGGTTACTCGAATGCGTTTGATGGTTTTATTAGAGTAATTTCTGACGGATATATTAACGGTGATTTGTTCTCCATGAAAGTATACTTGTCGATCCAAATTAACTTCGAGTTCCAATTCTCCGGGACTCAGGAGAAAATCTTTTCTAACGATTGTTGATGGTTGTCTGCTTTGGGTTATAGGAGCCCATTGAATCTTTTTTATTCCCATACGGACTGTACTCCTGCGATTAAATATTTTATTTTAAACAGAAATTATCTTACATTATTTAAACATGTTCATACTAATTTTAAATTTAATATTAACTGTAGCGTTTGAAATATTTTCTATCAAATAATATCCAGCCTACCGCCATAGGAATCCGGATTCGAATTCAATTCAGACTACTATAATTTATCATAGTTATCATAGTTTAAGCCGGGACGTTATTCACTCGCTCGTGATGCATGTCATTTGTTGACCCTATTGCGGATTAAACCCGCCCGTAATAGATGAAATCATGACTAGTGTAGCCTTAATATGCTAATACCTTGCGTTAACAAATCACAGTATATAATAGTACTGTATAATATAGAGACAGTGAAAGCCGAGGCGATAGAAGAGTCTGCTTGCGTTCTGGGGAATCCAGAATTAAATCCTAGCGAACAATCCTAGGAATTTTTCGGAGATGTTCTATCTGGTATGTTAGACCCGTTCCTCACCACTCGATTCCCTTCACTGTGGGCTTGGCAGAACTCAAGATAGGTCTGGCTGAACCCAAGGCGAAAAGAGTAAAAACCATTCATCTTGTCCAGAAAAAAGTGGAAAAATTAAGTGCGGGTGAGGTATAGAAGGAACAACTTTAAAAACTGGCCACTCTATATATTTGCTATATGTAACAATAGTTAATTAATGTATAATTACAAGCAGATAATTTGCATGTTATGTTAAAATGATGAGGATTGTGTGTTTACCTTTTATGGCTTTTATCTTCAACCGATTGTCCGGCGAATAATTTAACGTCGTAATAAACGCCGCAGGGTTGGCCACTTTCTTCGGAACCGGGCTGAAGTATTACAGATTGGGGAGCATTGATTGGCAACTAAATAACAAAGCAATTTCATTAAATTGAAAATTAATTTATATAATTATTTTAAAATAAATAATACAAGTTACCTGAAAGTAGAATGGATAAGCATTTGGACCCAATTTTTTCATCAATTTCTCTTGTATTTTAGTCGGAGTATATTCCTTATCTGTGGGAGGAGGATAGATCTGTTCCACGCACAGGTAAAGTTCCTTGTAGAAGTGAAGTCCCATGACCTCATCGTCCTCTCTACCATAACGGAAAGTGGCCACGACTTGGCCGAATACCTTTCGCTCTTTCAGGTAATCATCGTGAATCACGACAACGCCATCTAATTAATAAATAATGATTAATACCGAAAGTATGCCTGAATATACGCCATCAATATTTACCTATAGGATCTACACAGTTGATATGATCCACATATTCTCTTTTAGCCAAATATATGATAATCTATAATCAGAAATTATTGTTAATAATATATAAATTAAGCAATAAGAATATATATATTATCTGAAAAATACCTTTCCGTTTGGAGAGCATTTTTTGTAGACACGAAAAGAAACCACCATAGTGTTAAAGTGAAAGAAACTTGCATAAAAGATATCCTCATATACTAATGATAATTGGATTAGATTTTTATCAAGCTGATCTACATTTTCTTTAATTCTATTAAGGAATGACGTCAAATATCTTGTGTGGCTTAAAGTCATGATTCATCAGAATCATAAATTACTTGAACTTATTCTTTCAGCAAGGTTTGTGGTATTTATGGTCACCTTTAGCTTGTATACCATGTAGAATAATTTTTTTTCTGATTTATTTTCTATGATTACCATATTGTAAGATTAATAAATCAGTTTTAAATTTGTGTTCAACTCATTTATAATCGTTGGTAAATGTAGGAGGACCAAAAATGTTAATGAATAATCATTTGGCTGGAATTTGAAAACAATTATAGATCTATAAATTCTCACTGTTGTCCTTACTTAATCTCGATAACAGAATTAGATAGATGAATGTGAGACCAAATATGGAAAGCTTATGGGTAGGAGGCCCCTATTATACACGTTGTTATTTCAATTCGAAAATGTTCCCCTGAAAGGAGTTAGAGGACCGGCACGACTCTATTACTAACAGGAAAGGTATGATGTACAGGGGCAAGACATTACTAATTAGAGGTGGAGAGCATATATTTTAAATAATATAAATTAAAAATTTCAGCCAGGCATTGAGACGTGGCAATAAATAATTGCTCGTTTTGATTTATTTTAACTTACAATTTGTTGCCACACATTTGTAATAAATGAACGTTTATTGTTATTATTATTTACTAATAATGAAAACAAAGATTTGTTTTTAAATGATTTTAATCTTTTCAAATTTGTACTCCTCAACCCCTACAAAGCTATCACAGTTGAATTTATATTCACAATACTTTCAATTAAAATCATACATTTTTTTTATTACAAAAAAAACTAAAAATAATTCTAAATAAAATGTATGGTTTCTTCTCTTTTGACAGAAGAGAAATTGTAAAATTTGATTATAAACAAACCAACATGAGCACAGTTTACATACACATTTTAGTAAAATGTGTATAAATAGTGTGTATATATATTTATATATACAATATAAATTTACATTGATTTACATGACAATTATATACATAATAAAAATATTGGATTAACCAGAAAAAAAAACAGTCCATAGAAAAAAAGAAAGGGAAAAATAGAAATATTTGGTACAAGTTTTGAAAGCAGATTTATCACAGTAGGAAAAATTTTAAACTAATATTTAAGATTTACTTAATTAATATGCTAATTGATCTATTTGAACAGCTGTTATAAGATTATTTATAACAAACTATTCTAAATACTATAAAACTAAATGATTTTTAAGACAGGAACATAAATATTTGTCAGATTTGACTAGAGGGGTTCAGAGACAGATATAAATTATATATGCAAATGTATAAGATGTATACATATATATATTATACTGTATATATGAATGATATGGATAATGTGCTTAATTAAATTTAAGCATAAATTAAGTAAATAAAAATTTTTCTTTTAAAACTATCGTTAATTTCAACTAAATCTGTTCTGGTATAAAATTTGTTACATTTACACAGACTAAATTATAATATAATTATATATTTTTTTTTGAGAAGTGAGACACAAACAATTGATTTAATCAACTTTATGAGTCATTTATAAAGGCTACTTTATAACAGACAGATGTGACGAATTATAGAAATGTTAACTGATAATAAGTTTGAAGATACATTGTACTCAAACTTATTATTAGGTAAAAAAAAAAAAGCTCAAATGTATCATTTTTATACATTTGAGCTTATTGGCACAATACATCACATCTTCTAGTTGAAAAAGTCTTGACAAATTATATGTAGTTTGCATAAAATATGTTCTAAACATTTAAAATCATTAGAGGTATGCAATTGATCATTAAATTTGCACACAGAATGGTTGCATGAATATGTATGTGTATATATATGTATATATATTTATATATATTTCCAAAACATGTTCAAAATTTTGAAATTTATAAAACTTTAATATGATTAAGCAATCATTTCTCATATCATTAACTTTAGTTCTTTCCTAAAACAGTCAATTAACTCAAGCAACATTTGAATATTGCTAATTTAACATGTGCCATATACATTTTTTAAAATTTGCATTGTGACATTTGAAACAATCAATACTAGTTAACTCAGCCGAGGATTTTTCTAACAGAGATTCCTCTCTTTGGAGTACATTCAAACATTTTGCTGAATATAATGGTTACCCATTTTTAATATTAAATGCTAATTAATCTTTGACAAAAATACTTTAAAATTTCATATATATTAGATAAAATAAAAACTATCTAAAATATTTTAAAATATAGCATTTTGCAATCCAAATTGACTTATGGTAGACATGTCAAGGTACGATGATGATAATTGGATTAATGTGGATTTTAAGTAGCGGATAGTGAAAAAGTAAATTGTCTGATACCTATTGCATTTATGTGTTTGTATATGTAATATATTTTCCAATGTTTTAAATTCCAGTATATGTACATAGAATATTGAAATTTTGTATTAGAAAAATATGCAAAACAAAATTCTTTCTTAGTGCACATCAAGCTATTTGTTTGATTTTATTTTATAAATCTGCAGTTTTAAGTTAGGACATATTAATAATATTTATAAAAATATTAGTGTAGAGAGTGTTGAAATGAAATTGTAACATTTGCAAATTCCTGATTGGATTTCTCATTCTGTACTATAAAACTGTGCATGTGCATATTTCAGTAATTTTTTTCTGTGCAAATAATAAAAATAATCATCTATCTAGGAAACCTTAATACTGGATGCAGAAAATAGCACAACAGGAGAGAGAAAGGAAAAGCAATATTATGTGCTAATTTTAACAGTGTCTGTTTAATAATCCTGGCTTTTCACATATTCTCTAACATATTATTCTTATACATTAGAAAAAAGTAGCAAATTTTTTAAGTAATAGTTGCTATGATCACTTGGTTTTAGATTCAAACTATATACAGTACTAGTTGCACCAATAAATTGTTTTGTGTCTCAAAATATAATTCTCAAATTCTGGATATCAAAACGTTGAAAAATTATTTTGTCAACAGTTTGAAGGATCAGTATATCATTGAATAAATATTACTGGTGTGATAACATATATTATTTTTCCTATTCCAAAAGTATATAACTACTGTCAGAGGTATCTACTATGAAACAGGAACAAAAATTTGTTGACTATCAATTGTTTAAACCCGGATAGGAATGTCATCTCATGCTGACATTTGCATTGTTAGAATCTAGGATTGGAATGGGATCTCTCTCTGCAGCTATATCTTGAAGGAGTAGAAATCTTTTCAAATGCAATGGAAACTGCAGTTTATTCACTTTAAAAGCTAGGTTTTCTCCCAGTTTCCGCCTTATGACAATCCGGCAGATATCAACGAGGTTCATTNCCTCTGACAGAGCCGCCGGTAAGTGGGGACAACTAACCCCCTCGGTTCTCACATAAATTTGTCTTTTATATTAAAATAATTGATTACTTATAGGCATCCCTTACATAAATATGGAAATATTAAATTTATCAGTATTATGTCAATATATAATACATTTATTATAAAAGATCAGCACAAATTTGTATTACTTATACTTTGTACATATTAAATTTTCTTACCATGTTTTAACAACAGTTTTAAGATTTCAACTTGTGCCCCTCTAACAGCAATATGCAAAGGTGTATCACCACTGTCATCACGAACATTAACAAATGCTCCTCCATTAAGTAAAAGTTCTGTTAATTGGAGGGAATGGTGCAAGACACTATAATGTAAAAGATGATGAACACCTGTAACTTTGGCTCCATTTTGGATTAACAATTGGACTAGATCACAGTCTTTTTGCCAAACAGCTTCAGACAGAGGAGTATAGCCTTTGGAATAAATTAAGAAATAATATACACACATATATATTTTGAAACTAATCATTTTTATAATAAAATTTTAATTATATCAGATTTTAAATCTTGATATCTTACCATGTATCTCCTCAACATTAACTTTTGCTCCACAATGCAGTAATATTCTGACAACTTGATGATTGGCACGATTAATGGCAAGGAATAAAGGTGTTCGATCTGATGCATCTAAAATATCAATCTTGGCACCAAAATTTAGAAGTTTTTCTACGATACCAGGATATCCTCGACTAGCAGCAATATGAAGAGCAGACGACTTATCACTAAAAACAAATTATATATAAAAAACAGTGTATATTCAGAACATAATATATTTACTCATTTATTACTCACATATTACATTAATTAAATAAAAATTACTTAGTTTTATTTATTTCAAAGTCAATGTTTATCACAACTAAATGCAATAAACATTCAATCTTGATAATTGCAGATAATACCTGATATACCTGGTTTTGCTATTGACACGACTTCCTGCACTAAGCAACATCACTGTAATTTCCTCGTGGCCACGAGAAACTGCCAAATGAAGAGGAGTAATATTCTCACTATCCGATACATTTACTCGACAACCTGAAAATACAAATTAAATGAAATATTTTTTTACAAAAGTTTGTTATTATTTGAATTAAGCAACCTAATGAACACCAAGGATAAATATACAACTTAAGACCCATAAGAAAGGTGAAAATGTACAACCAATAGTAGACTTTAAATTTACTGTATTATATAATTTAGAAAAATTTTTTAAACAAAAGCTCAAAGATTACAAAAATTTGAAATATTCTATTAAAAACACAGATGAATTTTTAGATGAACTCAAGCAAGTAAAAATAGAAAATACGTCAAAAATAGCCAGTCTAGAAGTGACTGATATGTACCCATCAATAAAATGGAATTAATTGAGAACCAACTCAAAAAAATAAATGTAGAACCTGACATTATAGAATTATTGGAATTTACTTATAAGAGTAATTATTTTGAGATAGAAGGAAAATATTATACACAGGAGGATGGAATTAGTATGGGGTTGGTCATTGGACCAGAGCTTGCAGAAATAATAATGATTGATATAGATGAAAAAATTAAAAATATACCAGGTATAAAATATTACAAAAGATATGTTGATGATGTTTTAATTATATACAATGAAGCAAAAGTTAAAATTAAGGAAATAGAAAGAATAATAAACAATATAAATAGAAAAATCCAATTTACAATTGAAGAAGAAAATACAGTTGGCAATAGTATACGATATCTAGATGTCGTAATCACAAGAAAAGAGAATGAGAGAATTTGAGCCTTTCAGAGAACCACGTTCGACTGAAACTACAATAAGATATAATTCTAATATACCTTTGAATATAAAAAAGAATGTTTTTCATATGGAGTATAAAAAAATACAAAATAGAACTAGTAAAGAAATTAATAAAAATAAACATATAAATGATTTTAAAAAAAAATTTAATTTAGATGGGTATCCAATTAGATTAATTAACAAATGGCAACAAAGAATAGATAACACTATCAAAACAAAAGATGAAAAAACAAAAGTAAAAATAAAATATTTAGGTTTTCCATACATAAAACATATGTATGAACAAATAGATACTAAGATGAAGAAAAACAACATGAAACTCACTCCAAAATAAGAAAACTTATTTTCCAGATTGAAAGGTAAACAAAAACCAAAAATAAAGAAGACACGAAAAATATTGTATATAAAATACCATGTAAATGTAAAAACAGCAGTTTTTATATAGGAGAGACGAAACACAAGCTAAAAATACAGGTTAAAGAACATATGTCTGATTTGAAGTATCACTGATTAAATTCTGTATTCCATGATCATTGTGTACTAAACGATTGCAACATTGATAAATCTAAAATACAGATTCTACATAAGGAAAAGAAGACATATCACAGAAAATTTAAAGTGTGTGTTGAGATTATTAAAAATAAAAATAAGAATTGTATAAATAAAAATTTAAGTATCAAAATTAGTGAAAACTGGATAAAAATATTATAAATATGTTAGAGATTATTAGATATAGTTGTGGTGATAATCATCAGCGTTCAAAGTTCATGTATATTTAAATAATAATTGTAAAAATCCGAAGTATTATAGGCTAATATTAATATATTAATAATTTTTTGAGTTTGTACACAACTTTTTATTGAATACCGAAATTGTTTCAAAGTAGTTTACTGAGATATATATGCAAATTAGCAAACCAGATTGTATCGCTGGGATAGCTGTGCACGAGATTTGTCTGTAAATGCTAAAACAGTTATTGTGTGAATTTAGGTGATGAGTCAAGAAATAAATTACAGGTAAAATAGATACTGTTATAAATTGCCTATAAATTTGATTTATTTATTTGAATATTATTTATATTAAACCAAAGTTTGTAAGTCCTGTTGTCAAGTTCAAGACCCGTCAATCTGTTCATTCTTCACTCTATCTATGGAATTTGATTCAGTCCATTACGTATGCAGTCTGTATGTTGTAATTTGTACTTTTAAAGTGTTTTTTTTTTTAAATATGTTATATTTATGAAATTTTTAATTCACATATGTACATGTAAAATTTTCTCATGTTTGATTTTAATGTTTAGTTGGCTGAGGAGGGGCTAATGCCCGAAACGTGACTTGTAACTAGCATACCAACTGAATAGAGACATGAATAATCTGCCAAGTGTTTGAAAGGAGTCATGTTATTGTGTCTGAATAAAGCAAATTAAATTAAAACATGGTTTCATCAGAATCATAAGCAACCTAATATTAAATTTTTGATGCAAATATCAATTGCAAGATAACTTACACATTGTAGAATTTAATAATGCATAAACAAAGCTATCTATCTTCCTTTGAATGTTAACGCCAAATAATTAATGAAAGTATTTTTCTTGATGCAAGACTATTTCCATGATTCTCGTTAAAATTTTATTTTCATTACCTTTTAATTTATCATGAATAATGAATAACAAAATTTGTTATTCTTGAAAAATTAACATATAATTTCTTTAATTACTAAATTAAAATACAAATTTTAAATAAGAAATAGAATACTATATTAATATACCTTAAATTTTTATTCTTAACTCTGGAACTAAAGTATCTTCTGAAAAGGAAATAGTTTTCATTGAGACTTAGTGATTAACTTCCAATAATAAATTCATATTTTCTCATAAAAGCTCATTTTTAGTTTGAATGTTCATGTACAAAGTTATAATTATGTTTTTACATTGATCATATTGTTATAAAAGTAACTGGAAACCTATATTACTGTGAAATAATACTTCATACACATAAATATGCCAAAGCAGCAATACACTCAATATTTATCTGATTAACTACAAGCAATTTGTTTTTTAGAATTAAAGCTGAGATAAAAGTTTAAAATTTAAACTTTTAAATTCTATTGCATAAAATTCTTTATCTGCTACATTCTGATCATTTAATTAATAGTTAATAATTATTTCTAATATACTCCATCTCAGTTAATACACATAATACACATAAGAACTCAGAATTTACTTAAAGTATTTTTTAAAAATCACAGTTTGTGAAACTTTATGATAACTGAATTATAATAGATACAAATTTCCACTAATGAAAAAATTAAGCCAAGATATATGGTAAAAGTTTTAAAGTAGTTTCTGCCATTTATGAATTAAATAACTCTATATGTTTCATGTAATCTATTTGAAATTTTTGGTATAAAACTTCTTATAACTTATCACTCATCTTTATTTGAGCATATTGAAGATTACAATCAGTTCTGGAGAATGATAGGCTCACAGATGCATATTCAGGGAATACATGGATAAATAAAATAACATGAATTTTTAAACTGCTTATAAACGACCAGTATAAAATTTACCACAACATATCAATCAGTACTGTAACAATTTCCAAGAACATAGAACATTAACAGAACAAGAATGGAAAAAATTCACAAAACACACATCTATATTTCACAAACTACAGAACTATCATATAATATTAGTAATATCACAGTTCATGACAGTTCTACAGTCTGTGAAATATTGCATGATATGCAGTATTGTGAAATATAACACAAACAACTACAAAATTACATTTTTGTAAAAATGAAAGAAACAAAAAAAAAAAAAAATTTAAATTAAAGGTGCTGAAAATGGCTCCCTTGTGCTTATAAACACATATCTACATACTTTATCTTACATGGCACACTCATAAGAGATCATTCTAAAAAATTTTAAAAATTTCCAAACAAATGTTGCAATATGTTCTTTAATTTAAACATAAACAAACATCATTACTAAACCCAATACATTTAAAGCTATACACAAACCAAAGCCGAATATTATCGGGCTAGAAACAGATATAACATTAATAATCTATAAGACAATTTGGCACTAGAATTAGGCATTAGGTGCCATCTCTTGATAAATTTAATAATTATAATTTAATTAAATAATTTTTTAAATAATTTAGAACCACTGGGAGAAAAGACTTGGCCCAGAACAGGACTCTAACCCACAACTCCTGCTTACCGTGCAGATGCATTGCCAATTACGCTACCCAGACCTCTGGTCCAATCTCCTCTTCAGCATATATAAGCTTACATTATAACCATCAATGGTTATTACATTGCTGGCTGGGGACACATCCAGCACCCACATCTTTTCTTCCAGTGATTCTAAATTATTTAAAAAATTATTTAATTAAATTATAATTATTAAATTTATCAAGAGATGGCACCTAATGCCTAATTCTAGTGCCAAATTGTCTTATAAATTATTAATGTTATAGCCGTTTCTAGCCCAATAATATTCGGCTTTGGTAATGTATAATTTAAACATATTGTTCTTTACAAAGACAATGTATGGATTGTCTTTGTAAACTGAGATTTCCATTTTACTCTACAAATAATAATCAAGGAGTGTAAAATCAAGCAATTATAATGATCAATTTTGAAATTAATCTATCCTCAAACACTTCAAGTAATAGTGCCAAGAAGATGTAAGTAATTCATGTGTGCAACACCACTATCCTATTGAAAGCGCTGTAGTAAAATTTTTGTTTTCAGTTAAGTATCCAATGACTAGATAAAGAATTCACAACATTCAGCATTATTATTGAAGAATATAGTTATTCAATTTTGAATAATTGTCTTTATAATACAGGTTATTAGCAAGTTTTTTTACCATCTTTTATTTTATGCAAAAAAAACCTTTTTTTCAATTTTACTAATTTTAAATTTTGGAAATTTTGATTGTTTTTATTTCTTTTACAATTAAAATATTAAATTCATAATTAGGTGACTAAATCATGTACACATACAGTATTTTTTAAACATTTATCAAATTACCTGCTTTTAAAAGCATCTCCAATACTTCAACTTTCCCACCTTCTGCAGCATAATGAATAGGCATGCGATCATAAAAATCTGGCAAGTTAACGTCACATTTTCTTCGATGAAAAGTAAATTTTCTTAAGGACTGAAATAATACAAGTCCTCCTAAACTTGGCTGAGGTGGCTCTTTCCAACCATCACTAAGTGAGAGTCTATTTTCTGTCCAACATGAATTATCCTCAGACATACTATTACCTTGATCTCTATTTTCCTAACAAAAATATTTTCCATTTAAGATTTAATTACATAGTAAAAATTAAAAATTTCAAAATTAGCAACCTTACTTGATTTGTTTCATTGTTATCTTGTGTCCATGACAAAAATCCAGGTTCTAAGTAACATTCCAATGATGTAACATCTTCAATTTCTTCATTTTCATAATTATCTTCAGGTGGAAGATAATCTTCTGCATGAAGTAAGACTTCTATTACATCTACATTTCCTAACTGAACTGCTCGGCCTAAAATTGTACGTCCAGAATGAACTAAAATATTTACATTTGCACCTGAATAAAAATAATCATCATTGTTGCATTTAGTCACTGTAAGCTTCAATTAGCATACTGAAGAAGAAATTATATTAAATAATTAAAATATAAAGACATTTACTATAAAATCAGATGTTTGTGCAAATGTGAAATTTAATGATACAATGTGCTAAAACTGAAAAATAGAAATTTAATTTATAAATTAAATATTTAATGGTATTAATGTAGAAAATAAAATACAGTAAAACCCTGATTATCGGAGGTAGCATGGACCAATGTTTCATTTTATTCATGAAATGAATGAATGGCCATAGCCTTTTTGGATTAAAATTTAAGAATATAAAAGATTTATTTAAGCCTTTTTTATACCTTAGTAAATTTAATCATACATAAGAATAATAATTTATTATATAGCTAATATACATACAATAGTTTTATGAATTAAAATGTTTATTGTAGTTATGCTTTAATATGAATGATTTGTCTCATTAAAGTTAAATGATAAAAGGCAACAGAAACAAACCATGCTTTAATATATGTTAATATTTTGAACTTTCTTTTATGAATTAAAAGTGTAAGAAAAGGTATATATTCACTTACAGGCTTGCCTCAGATAATACAGAACTTTGGTTAATCAGGGTTCTATTGTAGTATGTTACGTTAACAAATTCCATATTCTCATCATATAAATTTCATATGATGAGAATATGGAATTTATTTTAGATTATTTAATAATATCAGACATCATCTAAATGTCATTAATTTAAATTTTATAACTAAAGAATGCGTTCAAGATATAAATAATAAAACAATTGTTTAAAAAATGCTTTAATTCATTGATATTTAGTACAAGCCTATTGAATCTAGAGATGGGAGTAGCCAGTCAAATGTTTGATAATACTGTACAGTACATACTAGCGACAGGACACTCATGTCAGACGAACATCACATGTCGCCAAGGTGTTAATTAATTAATGTCCCATCATCTGTAGTGTGTTGTAGTGCAATGGTACAGCTTACAAGTAAATGTATCAGTCAAAGATTATTAGAGTTTTGCATTACAATCATTTTGTGATATTTTAAGTATTTTTCATATAAAAATAGTGGAAACAGTATAAAGTTATAGTTCATTTAGTATTGTGAATACCTCAAATTAAAAAGTTAAGGAGTGTAGGATGAGAGAAGAATTTTGAAGAAAAATATAGCAAGTACTTCAAATGTTTCTAGTGACAAGGAGAGTGAAATGGCAGATAGTAACAAAGATACAAATCCAGGCACTAGTTCTGTTTAAAATATTAAGAGAAAAAGTTTAACCCTTCACCTTAATGACCAACTGCTTTCCATTATTAATCTGATTTTATTTTTATTTTTTGCATTTTCAATAAATTGCTTTTGGGGTTTTTGTCTGCTGCTTTATCTATAATCATTAAAAATAGTCAGGGTTCCAATATTTTTTACTAAAATGAAAAGAGTTCCATGATAAAAATAAGTTGGGAACCACTGCCCTATACAATGCAGTACTTCAACATGTTTACCATGTTTTTCAACTCAAGGTTTATTTTTAACAGCACCTTTATTCCCTGAGGTTTATATGAGGAAATACAGTATAAATATATATAAAGACAGAATGACTATTTTCTATGTAAATAAATTATTTATTTACCTCTTCTTAGAAGTTCCTTTACACATTCTACATTGTTGTTATTGACAGCTTCATATAGTTCTTCTTCTAAAGTGGACATGGTCTCAAACACTTCTATAAAAAACGTTAATACAAACAAAAATAATTTAAAATATTTAATGAAATTATTCTTATAGATCATTCTTTGTATTTTAATTTATACAATATAACTAAGACACTTATTTTTTGAAAGTCAAAATTATTTTTTCCAGTTTAATAATTTTACAGCTTACATCATTTCTATAAAATTTACACTTCAGAGAAAATGAGTTTTGAAAATGTTAAAATTAATTAAATATTTTCATTTCTAGAAATTAAGATGGATTGTTCAAACAATTTAAAATGTTTTTATTAAATAAACCATAAAAATAAAAACAATAGTAATTTTAAATTTTATTAACAGTAATCAGTTTTATGGAAAACTCAAAACATACAATAATACCATTATTTACCATAGATTTCTAATATTCATTTAGTGTTTTTAATGTATCATTGAAAATAATGTCAATATCTAAAATATTTCCTCAAGATAAGATTTTTGTTATATTTTGCCAAAAACATTTACAATATATTACAATATATGATTATGTATTTCTGAGACCATGTCTTCCTTTATTTGTTTTTTCTTCACTACTAGGTGCATTAATAGACACAAGGCATTTTACATCATCTTTATTGTGAATCTTCCTTTGCATTTCAGGCAATGGTCGCTCTTCCGTTGGCATGACATCTGGAATTTTCTTTAGGTTGTGTTGATACATATATATTTTTGACAAGACTATGTCTTGTTTATAAAATTGTACTGCCCAATGTTCTTACCAGCATAGAGGTATGAAGGAGTACATGTCGCGAGTTGATATTTGGCAAGAGTAATAGGTGCCCAAATCATTTGTGCATAAAAAAATCCAGACTCATAGATAGTCGGGGGACTAAGAATTGAGTCAAAATAAAATACAAAATGGTGATTCCTCTTCTACAAACAGGCAAAACAGCCACCTCACCCCACCGAAATCAGGTAGGGGAGAGTACCACCCACAGTCATTCTAAGAAGTGAACTCTGACCTTAGGACTGAACACACAGTTTCTTCTATGTTAAATAAAATTTGTAATCTAATTTTGTAAATTTGGGAGTGCTTCAAATATTCAAGTGGTTTTTTTTTAACATTTTATCTAGTATAGTAAAATCGTAGGACCAATAAAAATTTGACGTTATATTAGAATTGTCGTTACATTCGATGACATTATAATTGGGTTAAACTGTATATTGTTTGTGCAAAATACAAAAATAATTTTGGACAATACGATAGCCACGATTATTTTTTCAAAAACGGGAACTTTTCGTTATGCATCGACAAAAGTTCAACCCAGGCCAACACACAACAGAGAGAAATTTTGAAATTAGATAGGTTAATTTCATTGAAGATGCATTGTGACGATCTCATGGTCGTGGCTGGCAAAGTTTGAACGATTGCACCCAAAAGCAGCGATATCAAAGAAAATAGGAGAATGAGAATGAGACCTGCCTTGAGCATCAAAGTGATTCCATCTCTGAGACATAGTCTTGTCCCAAATACGGTTTTGCTGTTTTACTTGTTTTGTTTAAAATTATGTATTTACAGTTAAAATCGTTAAAGTATCATTGCAGTTTAAATCATAAATATAATTTCAACACAACCTAAAGAAAATTCTGGATGTCATGCTGACAGAAGAGGGGCCTTTGCCCAAAACACATATCAGCCTATAGAAGATTCACAATAAAGATGATGTAAAATGCCTTGTGTATATTAATGCACTTAGTAGTGAAGAAAAATATATATATATATGATTCATTTATTTTATTATCAGTAGACACAGAATGCTGCACCATACCATACAAAATGAATGCAGAATGCAGAATGATGCACCATACAAAACATGTAGAAATTTTTCATTTTTTTAATACTGTATTACAACTTAATGCATAACTTACATTAAAATATTGAGTTTTGAACTAGACATAAAACATACCAAACTAATTTAATTTAATATAATTTAAACTGTTTATTATACCTATTTATTAAAATACTATAGAAAAAATTTTCTTCTTTTTCCCAGTTTATTGAGATAACATCCACATAAATGGGCCACTGATTAATTGGGTTAAATAATCTATTCTTTGATATGGTCCAATTAAGTGCATTCTACTGTATATAAATATCTTTTACCTATATGATCTGATTTTATATCTAGGTTTGTTTGTTAATTTATGGCAACACAACACTTGGGCAATCTAGTGCCTTCTGAGAGGTCTTTTTAAGGGTAACTAGTCCCTATTTATGCATTACAGACATGGAGAAAACCTGGAAAACTCCACATGGCCAGCCCATCATGGAAGGCACGAATCCATGACCAAACTCCCAGTGTTCAGGGAACAGAACTGCTTGGCCACTGATGGGCCTTATATCTAGGATTGTCTTTACAGATTTCTCTTTATCCAAAAAACATTTTTGAAGTTTATAACATAGCACAATTTAATTTTACAAAAAGATAAATAAAATAAAATATTTGTTTTAAATATTTACATAATAAGTGTACAAATTTTATAAAAATAACACAAAAGTTAAATAAATAAAAAAACCTATTCAAAAATTAAAAATTTAGCTATTTTAAAATTTTAAAATTATATATTTTTTCATTTATATCTATTTATATCATTATCTTTAATCTCTGATTACTTTTAAGAGATTATCTTTTATTGCTTTTAAGAAATTTTCTTTTTATTTTGATAAAAAAAAAAAAAAGATTTATTACATAAATACATTTTTCAATTTTTTTTTAAATCAAAATTTCTATATTGTAACATCTTTCTAAAACAATTCAATGTCAGATGGTACTACTTTATTATTATTTGTTTTTTTCAGCCAAAAATAACATTAAATCAATTTAGACTGCTGATTTATTGTTTTCATTGAATCAATTGCAATTTATGTAGTCCAAAACTAAAACTAACATCTGAATAATATATAGGAAAACATTTCAAACTATTTCTACCATCATCAGCTAAATAGATTTAAAATTCTTCTAAATAAACAATCATAAGTATTAAAATACTTCAATTCACTTTTGGTTTATGAATCATGAAAGATACTCTGAATCCCAATAAAATAATTAATATTAACATACCGTATGTTTTAAGAATTGAATATAATTTAATATAGAAGAAATAATTTATTAAATTTGTTTAAACACTAAAGAAACTGTAACAAATGACAATTATAATAATGATAACAAGTATGGTTTTAATATATATATATATATATATATATATACTGTATATAGGGATTAACTAGTCAAATAGCCAAAAGTCAATAATATTTTAAATTTGGCAAATAAGTTTTACAGATCATTTTGCCAAGACAATATCTACTTCTCATAAACTATACATTCCAGCATTCTACTTTTCTGGCACTCTTATTCTGCCTTAGATACAAGTTAGCAACAAAATATCCCATGCTTGAATCTGATTTCACAACTATCCAGTATCAGCAGTATCAGATATTTAATGTCAAGTATCAAGTCAATCATTTACTTTCACACATCACTGGGTAGCAGGAGTTTAGTCATAGAGTTCAATCATGTTGTAATTCCTACTATGGAGCAAAGCCATATATTCTTGCTGCTGCCATGCAATTACCAGAAAGATTGGAAGATTGCAATAAATTCTGTACATTTCAGCTTATCCAGCATCATATATCTGGCATCTGAACTGGACAACATTAGGATTTTGTCTTATTATCTTTAGACAGGTATCTTGTAACTAGTTGCCAGACAAATGTGTAAAATTCTCTCATAATCCTATACACTTCATAATCAGCTATCCAGTATTTTATGTGGTATGTAAAAAACAATACTAATACTCGACCTTCAATGTTGCAGTTGTTCAACAGAGTTTCCAGTTGTGCCATAATTATTAGATTTTAATATAATTTTAAATGACTCCAGAAAAAATAAATTCATTTGCCATAATTCATAATTTTAAAATGAATTTGCTTAATTTAGTTTTAATTATGTATTTTGCATATAAAAGATAAAAGTAAGTTATGTACTCTAATTTTTAGTAACAATCTGACAGTGAAATTATAGTACAATCTTAATAATCTACCATTTGCTAGTTTGACATGTCCAGTAATCCAACACTAGTCAACTTTCTGGTATTACTGCCACTGCTGCCAAGTAATAGACAAGATTCCCACTAGTTCAAACTCCATTTCTCACTAAATGTGGAATAGTATTGAGCCTGAGCATGAACACTCAAATGGGCATAATATTAAAGATTGTTGCATTCATTATTTTAGGCTGCACAAAAAATACAGTATCTTATAATACAATACTGTTTAAACATAAAAATCAATTCCCAAAAATTCCTTCCAACAAAATCCAGCAACTGGTTACTTAACCCTTATCCGATCGACATTTAAAAGTTTGGTGGCACCATCTGTTATGTTATTTTATTAAAAACTTTTTATATTTTTAATTATTATAAAATGACAAAAAGCTTAATTTTGAGTATAGTGATTTATTTCATAAAAAATTGTAAATGCTACTAACAGGTAAAATCATCACTAAGTCTGACCCTACTCAAGGTATGACACTTGACCCTATTTATCTCCCCACCCTGTCAACCTTTAACTACCAAAATTTAATAGTATCAATCCTCCTAATACACAAACCTCCCTGCAAAATATAAAAAATTTTGGAAGCTCATTTTTTGACCAATTGTCACACTTTCCCTCTGTTATATATGTTACTGTAAAAGCCCATATACTGGTAAATCCTAGGTTTTACTTGAAAATCTTCGAATTTACCAATGTGAGTTGGTAAATGTAAGGATTTTTATAAAGTGAGATGATTTTTCGGACTTTTACCATTAGAATTTGGTACATGCTAGGTTTTACTAAAGACGATTAGTAAATGTTGGTTTTGGAAATAAAACTATGAGTATTTTAATAATCATTTATTGCAACTATTATAAACTTACTAAACTTATTAATAACTAGCTATTTATTAATAACTAGTGAAACAGTTTAAAAATACTTTTTTAACGTAACAAAAATTAAATTATCTTGTAAAAAATAATGTAATAGCCTACCCGGCTAAGCTAATCAGTAATCACAGTATTTTTTCTAATCATTTGGTATTCATTGTTCATTTAATAAAAGTAAAAAAGGATTTTATTTGTTACAACATGGAGAGCTATCATGGCATTTAGAATTATAAAGTAATCCTGATGACTTGCAAGCGCACTTCTTCGTTAGGCATTTTTTTAAGCAGTTGCACTTCTTGAAACCTTGTCATCCAGTCAAAGACAATTTTGCGACAACTTCTCGAAGACTAACTTCTTTACCTTTAATTTAACCCCTTCTGACTCATTTTCAACAATGCTTTCTTCCTTGTCCTGTTCGATTGCATTTTCGACATCATTATTTTGTTCCATATTGTCATGCAAATGCAACAACTTCTCTAAATCTTCTTCAGATCTTATAACTCTAATCATATCACTAGGGATTGCTGAAGCTGCAAGGTCCATTATCATTGGACAACCAAACATTGTTTCGTAGGGGGAACATTTGATTCCCTCATGATATGCTCTATTTTTCATTGCCTGAATGAATCTTAAATCCTCTGACCACTTTGATAACTGATTGGTTTCCATCCACGTACTCAACATATTTTCTATGTCTTGATTAGCACGCTCCGCTGATCCTTGACTTTGGCCATGTCTTGCCTTTCCATGTACGATTTTTACATCCGGCCACATGGAGCATAAACTCTCAATAACTTGGTTAGAGAATTCTCGACCATTATCGGAATGAAGGATGCTCGGCGCTCCAAAAGTGGTAAAAATATCCAAAAGATGGTATGCAACTTCTACGGCGCGTTTAGTTTGAAGCGCACGAAGGATCACAGATTTGGTAAGATGGACTTGGTAAACTAAAATAAATTTATAATTTCTATCTGGGGTAGTTTGTAGATCTATTAGATCAACCTGACAGCGTGAGTTCATTTCACTGTGAAGTATAGGTCTGACGACAATGCCCTTTTTCAAATTCTTCTGTTTCTTTTGGCAAGGTTGACATAGCTTCAAATATGTCATAGTAGCCTCAACTGTTACATTTTTATACTTGCAGTTACATTCCTTAAGCATCCATGTCCTTCCACTGTGGCCAACAGCAACATGTGTTTCTTCGAGAATATTGAATAAGTCCTCGTAACAAATATAATATCTTATTTCTCCATCCTCCTCCTTCGTAGGCGCAATTAGTTTTTCTTCGCCGCCTATAGTCAAAATTTTGTAATGCTTTATACGCCTGTAATGAACAGCTTGTTTCTTTTTCATGTTCTTTGCAGCTTTTACTTCCTCCAAACACTTTGCGTATTTGTCCCTATTAAGTAAAAGTTATTATCTTTCTTGCTTGCAATGAGCTCGTCCATTATTTCATAAAATTTCCATTTCACACTCATCCTGATTCATAAATAACTTTTAGACAGAGAAATCTCAAACAAGATTAGAATTAATATGCGCTTTCTAACGTGTCAAATGATGAAATGTGGCGAGCGAAGGCGATGACGCGGTGCGGTGCAGAAAGCGAGGACTATTTTTTCAGCATTTACCATGTCTCTGAGGTAAAACCTAAGATATACCGAGTAAATGCTGATAAAAGTTCGAAATTAGCGATGATCGCAGAACATTTCGAACTTTTACCACAAAGATTTGCAATTCTTAGGTTTTACTGGAAGATCTTAGGATTTACCATAGTTCGAGCATTTACAGTAACATATATATATAACAGAGCCGGAAAAGTAATACTGTATGATTCACTAAATCTCTTATTTAATTTAATGGTAATCCATTAACTTGCAACATGATTACTGGAATGTTCAGATGTTCTGATCAGTAGTCCAACTTGTGTTTTGCTGTGACATTAACAGTGAACTCCACAATGTCAAATTCATTTATGTGCTCAACTATTTTCATTACATCAATTTCATTCATATTTTTATTACTTAAATTATTTCATTAAAATATGAGAAATTCCAATAATATAACAATTTCCTTAATCCAACACTCTTCTGGTTTCATATATATATATATATAAGCATAGTAGTATCCTTATGAAATATAAGCATCAAAATTGTCATTCCTCATAACTAATTAAAATCAGAGTTCTATCTATGACACATCATCTACACAGTCTGCCAATCATACAAAGTAGCAAACTGGAAATATCACCATTACAGTATTTCTCTTTCACTTACAAGATTTGATTGATATTTAAAATACTTACAGCATATTTTAAGCAAAAAGTTTGTCATAATCTGTATATATTTTAAGAGAAGTTATATATTTATTAAATATTTTCCTAATTACTATCATATTTATAGTTGTTTGAGATGAAAATGATTTCTATTCTATGAACAGTAATAATGACAGCATATTTAATTCTTATTGAATAAATATCACTAAAATTTTCTTCTTAATATTAAGGTGACCAACTATTTTACAATGAAAAGGAGGACACAAATAAATTGAAGGAAAAACTATCGTAATAAAAGAAATATTTTATTCATTGCAACAATAATACACTATAATAATATCTATTGCATGTATATGTGCCATGTAATATTTCAGTAAGAAGTACACAAAGCCACTTCCACAAAGTGCACTCTCTCAAAGTCTTTTGTGTGGAGCGTATGTGTCTCATAATCACATCTTGCAGCACTGTACCAAGCCTTGATGAATCATCCATTAAATACAAACACATCACATACAACAGATCAGCTTGGCATCAATCAAATATGGAGATTTACAGATTAGTCTTCAAATATCAAAAAAGAGGACATGTAGGAGGACACTTTTCGAGGAGGACTTTTTAAAAAAGGAGGACAATTGGTCACCTTATTAATATGCAAAATTTAATATTTAAGCAAATACAAACAATAACCTTATTTATTCTTTTATTGATTTTTCAATCATTTATTTTACACACACACACTTTACTTTAAAATTTAAAAAATTTATAAAAACATCAAAAATAATTTTTTTTAATTTGTAATTACACTGGCTACATAAAAAATAATTTTACATTAGTAAAACAATGTAAAATTATCACTTAATGTATAAATATTTTGTTTTTCTCCTTTTAATATTACATTAATTTAAAAAGTTTTTAATTTTATCACTTTTACAAAATGTAAAAATTTACCTTTCACTCTTTCCTTTATATGTAATGAGGTTAATAAAATGAACTGTTGAAGACTTTACAACACTCATTCTCATTTAATCACATCTTCAAGAAAAATAAAATTTTCTCTTTAGATCCATACCTAATTTGAAAAATTGAATATAATTATCTAAGTAATAAAATGAACATTACAAATTTAAATATATAATTGAAAATATTTTAATATATCTTACTTCTCAAAACAATTAGAATAAAACTCATCAGAATGCTACATTATTATGCTACAAAATTTAAAAAAATCATATTTTTATTTTTCAAATAATGTACTTTAAAGTTTTAAAATTTTCTAATTGAAATCAAAGCAAAATTTTTAATTTATATATGTTATTCATATCTGATTCTAAGTTTTGCATTAAAGTAAAATTTAAAATTCTTACTTAAAGCAAAATTTTTTCATTTAAGTACATATTATATTTTTATTCAGTTATATTTTATTAACTTATATAATGTAAGTGTTTAGGAATTATTATTGGAAGTACAGTAATACTCCGATTAACCAAGATCCTGCATTATTCGTGTGAAACTTGTAAGTGAATACCTTACTTTTCTTATACATAGTTCATAAAAGCTTTACTATGAATGCACCAAGAGTATACAGTAAACATCACAGTGCTTTTAACCTTGACTGTACTGTGTGTGTGACTGAGGCTGAAGTAACTGACCACTTTGGCAAAGAATACAGGAACTGATATAAAACAAAACTAAAGAATTTTTTTAAATAAAGTGTAAAATGATAATATACTGTACATTAAAAAATAATGTTTCTGTTACCTTTTATTATTTAAATTCAATATGACACAAATCATTCATATTAAAATGATGTATTACTATACATTTTTATTACACATTATATTCATAGAACAATTGTATGTATTAGCTGTATAATAAATGATGTAAAAAATGTTATTCTTATGTATGATTAAGTTCATTAAGGTATAAAAAGAGAGACTTAAAACTTATACCAAGTAAATCTTTTACATTCATAATTTTAAATCCAAAATGGCCATGGCCATCCATGTTATCTGAGTTTTTGGTCGTCTGAGGTAACATCAGTCCATATTACTTCAGATAATCAGTGTTCTACTGTACTACAAAAAAAATCTAAAACAGATTAAGCAGAATAATAATGCATTTTATTTAGATAAGTAAGTACTCATTTATAAAATAACCACTTAAAACAAAATACAGCACAATCCAGTCATTTGCTAGTCTGGCATGTCCAGTAATCCAATACTAATTGACTCTCTAGTATTATTGGCACTGTTGCCAAATTGTAAACAAGCTTCCCACTAGTTGAAATTTTAGTTCCCACTAAATGTGGGATAATATCAAGTCCAAACTTGGTTATGGTATTAAAAATTGTTTGACTTATTGATAATCTTAGGCTGCTCAAATTGATTGCTCTCCTTTCACATTTTCTTGCTATTCTATGCATTTGATTAATACAATCAATGAACTAACAACATGCAGATAAACAAATAAGACTTAAATTTTCAAATTCCATATTTAAAATAATTAGCTAAGCACTTGATCTTATTTATTTTTCTGTTCGTTTCAATGATGATTGCTATAAATTTCTAAATTATCTACAAAATTAAAAACATTAAATCTATAAACCAGCAAATTTCTATAACAAGTGCAAACATTTTGCCCATGTTGAACAAGCATCATCAAGCAAACATTTGCACTTGTTATAAAAATTTGCTGGTTTATAGATTTAATGTTTTTAATTCTAATTTAACCAGTTTTAAATGGCAGTTTTCTTCTAGTTACAAAATACAGGAAAGAATAAAAAAAGGGATGAAAACCGAAGGTTAATTTCAAAATCAGCCACATTCACAGCCCTTATCTTTCAGAACAAGAAAAAGTGGAGTTAGCTGTTTTTGAAACTCTACATCTCAAATATTTTCTTTCCAAACAATAAAACCATTGAATTCATTTTTAATTCCAATAATCTCCTTAACCTGACACTCTTCTGGTCTCATACATGTTGGATTACCAAAATTATATAGTATATAAATGTCTAAAATTAATTATTAAATAATATATTTCTATGAGTCTAACAATAAAATTTAATTATTATATGCCTTCCATTTGAATTTTTTTTTAAAATAAATAATTACACCAAAATCATTTCTAATGTATGTAATGAAAAATGGTTTAAAAAAATATTTATTTTCATTAAAAAGTCATTATTATTGAAAGTACAGGTACTTTTCTATTTTTAGAAATACATATTTTTAGTGAAATACATTTCTATTCAAAACAGAAATGGCACTTTAGCATAATACATTACAACAATTAATTTATTTATTTATTTTTAAAATTATTGAATTTTATAGACAATAGAGACTTTCTGTAGTATTCAGAATTATCATCATTATAAATATTTTTTTGACAGGAATACCAGTTATTAGTTTGTGTGATAAAACTGTTATAATGACTGCTAAATAACATGCAATCTTACTTATTATATTAAATATACACTAAAAAGTCATAATAATGAATTAGAAGTGATAAAATATAATATTACATATCTAAAACCACAATTAGATTTTTTTATGTATCTAAAAATGATGCATTTATTAAGATAAAATGTGTCTGATCCTGTTTCACTTATGCTTATAAGTTTCTTTATGCATGTATATAATCAAACTATAAAACAAAAAGTTTGTCTTGTCTTCAATTCAATATATTATCATATGCAAGTAGAATGGATAGTTTATTACATTCAATTCAATACCCAAATGTAATAATTGCATTTATTATAATACTACATAATTAAAAAAAAATTATCAATTGATATTGGAAATATTGACGTATGCAAATTCTACATCTTATTTTCTACAGTATAATAATTTCTATTGTATTAGTAGATTTGCCAATATGGAATTTATTTATATTACTATCTAGTATAACTCTGTCCCGATCCACATAGATATCAAAGTAGATATAGCACACCCCAAAATATGCTATGAAATCAATTAAGAAAAAAATATCTATTTCTCTTGGTTGATGCTTAGTAATTACTTTGCTTAATTTAATTGCTTAGTAATGCATAATTTTCAAATATGCATTACTAAGCAATTAAATTAAGCAAAAGTAAATAAGTACAAATAAATTATTTTTTATAATGTAAAATTTATTTTCTTTACAAAAACATACTACAGTGGAACCTCGATTATCCGGACCTCTATTATCTGGATTTTCGATTATCTGGATTGTTCAAAATAAACAAAAATTTTACGAATTTACTGATTTGCACTTGGCGAATTACGACACTGTTTATGTACGTGATGGAATGCATAATTTTTTTATTTCAACAACGTCTCACTCGGCACATTGGCCGTAAACTCTTAAATATATTTTGCGTTGTAATAAAAATATAACTTGACATACATATTTATAAATAATTTATATTCAAATTACATCATTTCTATGACCAAGGGCGGCGTAAAGCATGGGAAACGTGGGCCAACGCCTCTGCCTCGCGGTCCGAAGGACCTCGTGCTTCGAAAGTTTATGCATTACTTAAAAGCCGAGAACGTGACGAAAAAAATTTTTCTTGTCATAAAGTGATAAATAGTTTGTCAAATTTCTTTTCATAAAAAGTAGTTTCAACTGCTTTTTATTTTATAAAATCCGTCTTCTTGAGCCACCAGAGGCCTTTTAAACAATAGCTAGTCTGTTAGCGCTGGTCAGTAGTAGTCCAAATTCAATACGAACGTTTGTTTCTTAAAAATTTGATCACGATTTAAATACAGTATTTATTTTTAATACTACCGATATGTCATCGAAAAGAAAACGTGTTGTATTATCATTAAAAGACAAATTAAAGTATTTGTTTCGATTATCCGGATTTTTCCTTATCCGGACTACCTTCATCCCCAATTAGTCCGGATAATCGAGGTTCTACTGTATTTAATAAATGAATGCCATTTATTTTCAGATCACTTTAATTTTTAATTCAGTAAACTTGTTTTACTTTATATATATTGTGATCTATAAAAAGTTACCTGAAGTTAGAAAAATCAATTTTTATTTTTTGAGAGCCTCTTACTCTACAGATTAGGAAGAATATATAAGATGGCATTTATAGCTAAAAATGTTACTAAAACATTACTAAAATCATTTGGTGTTGAAACCTAAATATTGACTATTTCAACCATATTTAATCATTCTTTTACTTTACAGCAAAATTTACTTTTTCAATTTAAGATAGCTTCTCATAGAGTCCATCACATATATATTTAAAAATTAAAATTAAATTAAAGTAGCTGGTCTTTATTTATTGAATTTAAGCATTTTTTATGGCATTNGTTTAGGAATTATTATTGGAAGTACAGTAATACCCCGATTAACCAAGATCCTGCATTATTCGTGTGAAACTTGTAAGTGAATACCTTACTTTTCTTATACATAGTTCATAAAAGCTTTACTATGAATGCACCAAGAGTATACAGTAAACATCACAGTGCTTTTAACCTTGACTGTACTGTGTGTGTGACTGAGGCTGAAGTAACTGACCACTTTGGCAAAGAATACAGGAACTGATATAAAACAAAACTAAAGAATTTTTTTAAATAAAGTGTAAAATGATAATATACTGTACATTAAAAAATAATGTTTCTGTTACCTTTTATTATTTAAATTCAATATGACACAAATCATTCATATTAAAATGATGTATTACTATACATTTTTATTACACATTATATTCATAGAACAATTGTATGTATTAGCTGTATAATAAATGATGTAAAAAATGTTATTCTTATGTATGATTAAGTTCATTAAGGTATAAAAAGAGAGACTTAAAACTTATACCAAGTAAATCTTTTACATTCATAATTTTAAATCCAAAATGGCCATGGCCATCCATGTTATCTGAGTTTTTGGTCGTCTGAGGTAACATCAGTCCATATTACTTCAGATAATCAGTGTTCTACTGTACTACAAAAAAAATCTAAAACAGATTAAGCAGAATAATAATGCATTTTATTTAGATAAGTAAGTACTCATTTATAAAATAACCACTTAAAACAAAATACAGCACAATCCAGTCATTTGCTAGTCTGGCATGTCCAGTAATCCAATACTAATTGACTCTCTAGTATTATTGGCACTGTTGCCAAATTGTAAACAAGCTTCCCACTAGTTGAAATTTTAGTTCCCACTAAATGTGGGATAATATCAAGTCCAAACTTGGTTATGGTATTAAAAATTGTTTGACTTATTGATAATCTTAGGCTGCTCAAATTGATTGCTCTCCTTTCACATTTTCTTGCTATTCTATGCATTTGATTAATACAATCAATGAACTAACAACATGCAGATAAACAAATAAGACTTAAATTTTCAAATTCCATATTTAAAATAATTAGCTAAGCACTTGATCTTATTTATTTTTCTGTTCGTTTCAATGATGATTGCTATAAATTTCTAAATTATCTACAAAATTAAAAACATTAAATCTATAAACCAGCAAATTTCTATAACAAGTGCAAACATTTTGCCCATGTTGAACAAGCATCATCAAGCAAACATTTGCACTTGTTATAAAAATTTGCTGGTTTATAGATTTAATGTTTTTAATTCTAATTTAACCAGTTTTAAATGGCAGTTTTCTTCTAGTTACAAAATACAGGAAAGAATAAAAAAAGGGATGAAAACCGAAGGTTAATTTCAAAATCAGCCACATTCACAGCCCTTATCTTTCAGAACAAGAAAAAGTGGAGTTAGCTGTTTTTGAAACTCTACATCTCAAATATTTTCTTTCCAAACAATAAAACCATTGAATTCATTTTTAATTCCAATAATCTCCTTAACCTGACACTCTTCTGGTCTCATACATGTTGGATTACCAAAATTATATAGTATATAAATGTCTAAAATTAATTATTAAATAATATATTTCTATGAGTCTAACAATAAAATTTAATTATTATAAAGATATTTTACAGAATATTTTGCATATATATCTAAATAAGTGTTTCTAAAACATATTTTTTTTTACATATATTTTACAAGATATCTATCTGTCTGATGTACTGTACACAAAATTGTATATAAACATATATGTTTACAATATGCAGACCTAACTTTGTACATAATACTATATATAAACAGCAATTTTTTGTATTACAAGTATCTATACGAGAAATATCTATCTATAATATTTCATAGTATACTCCTCGTGTATATATATAATATATATATATTGCAGTATATATATACTGCAATAAAAATGAAGTTTCTGCACAGTTAACTAAAACATAATTGTTAATTGTTTGATGCTGCTATATATATTGTGTGAACCACCATTATCTCTATAAATAAAGTACCAAAATTTCTGCATTAGTTTTAATTACTTTCAACTAGCTGTTTTCAAATTAATAGTGTATTAATTATATGCAAATATTTATATATATATATATTCCTTCTATTTTTATATGTATATTGTATATGATAAACTGCATTTATTCAGGTAATTGCAAACATCAGATTTCTTTCAGTAATACTTTATATGTTAACAAATACATTTTAAATAGTTATTTTTTAATATGTGAATATATCCAATATTGTTTACATATTATGAAACATGAAGATTTAAGAAATTCAAAATATTAAAACATTGCATAAATTAGACATTGTTTATTGCACTTATTAAATATATAATATACCTATATCAGAGATATTTCTTTCGAGAAAGCCTGCAGAAAAGATTCAAAACCTTTGGAAACATTACAAACCACTATCAAGCGTCATTGTGTCGCCCCTCCAGCCATACCAATATCAATTTTCGCATCAGCACCACCTGGTATCTAAAATTAATTTTAATAAAATAAAAATAAATAAAATAAAAAATTAAATGTATACAAAGGCATAAGAAAAAATTATCTTATCTTTGAGTTTGTCAATAATTTATATCTGATTAATTAATATAGAGTTAATACAGTTATAAATTGTAATTTACATTTTCTTTACTATAAAATAGCGTTATGATAATATTTAACACTATTTTATTACTACTATACAAAGGCCAACGATCATCACGTTAAAACACTTCGTTATCCAATATGTTTGGATATATTTTATATCTTTAAATTATACAAATTCTTCCTTCTAGTGAAATACAGATATAATGCCGGCATTAGAGCCGGTATTTAATTCGGGCAGAAAACAACAGGAACTTTTTATCCCAAATATGTCGTGTTACTCGACCGCCTCCACTGTGTGCTGGATAAGAGGACATTCTGAAAAAAAAAAAATGCTCTCTTAGTGCCCATGGGGCGGAGAGAGAAAAATGAAATAGTGTAGAAATAAACAATGGAATATCTTTCATTGTGTTTTAGAATGATGTTAAATGAGTATTCATAAGTAACGTATATTTTATGAATTGATAACAAGTATAAATGGAGACGAAAATTTTTTACTCAACGCTTCCGACATCACTTGAAAAATAGAAATCTGATAATGGAAATTTATATAATTTTTTCTGACAGATATTGTAGCTAATACACAGATATCGAGAATGATTAAAGTATGAGTCACTAGATTATATATATTATAAACAAAAACGAAATTATAGTGAGATTATAGTCATTATTAAATTACTTGTTGATGCTAATAATTATTAATGAAGACAAATATTTATGTACAATATTAGAGACTAAATACAAAAATAAATTTTTGAGGTACATTCACAATCACCAGAACACTAGCGGAATCAACCTTTCATCCTGGATNTACCGATATGTCATCGAAAAGAAAACGTGTTGTATTATCATTAAAAGACAAATTAAAGTATTTGTTTCGATTATCCGGATTTTTCCTTATCCGGACTACCTTCATCCCCAATTAGTCCAGATAATCGAGGTTCTACTGTATTTAATAAATGAATGCCATTTATTTTCAGATCACTTTAATTTTTAATTCAGTAAACTTGTTTTACTTTATATATATTGTGATCTATAAAAAGTTACCTGAAGTTAGAAAAATCAATTTTTATTTTTTGAGAGCCTCTTACTCTACAGATTAGGAAGAATATATAAGATGGCATTTATAGCTAAAAATGTTACTAAAACATTACTAAAATCATTTGGTGTTGAAACCTAAATATTGACTATTTCAACCATATTTAATCATTCTTTTACTTTACAGCAAAATTTACTTTTTCAATTTAAGATAGCTTCTCATAGAGTCCATCACATATATATTTAAAAATTAAAATTAAATTAAAGTAGCTGGTCTTTATTTATTGAATTTAAGCATTTTTTATGGCATTTTAAAATAACTTATTCTACCCAATTAAAAATTTTTATTCATTATAAAAATTAACTGTTTTGTCATTACATTCTAAAGCCACAATATAGAATTGTTTAGAATTAACAGATGTATCAATTTATTAAATTTATGTTTCAAAATCAAATTTTTAAATTTGTTGAAGGACAGTTGTATTCCATTTTCTCATTCCATAAATGTTTCATAGAATAAGAAAATTTTTACACCTTTGAAGATGAATTTTAATAACTCTGAAAGTATTTAAATTTTTGTTATCTATCAATAAACTATTTGGAAAAACATAAATGTTATAAATTGAAAGTTACTAATTGTTAAATTATATTGCATTTACTTGTAAAATTTGTGTTTATGTGTTTTGCAATCTCCTTGCAAATCATATATATATCATATTTCTTTATAATAAAAAAATCATTATAATGCCCATTCTTTAGACACAGTATTTTTTCAAAGTATACAGCTAATAAAAATTTATACATGCAAGTTTTAAAATATAATAGTTTTCCTTCTGTTATTTTTTTTTTGCTAAAAATATGTGTGTACTAGATAGTCAAAACTTATCAAAATTCTGTAGTTAGATTATTTTTTATTTTATATTTGAACAGATTATTTATCATCATTAAAAATATAGCCATGCATCAAATCTCCTCATTAAGAATTTGAATTTAATTGAGGTATCTTAGAATATGCATGGATTTACTAAATATAAACTCTGAACATTAGTAAAAACAGCTTTAATAAAAATTTCAATTATTCTTTTGTTCTTGATGAATAAAATTCAAATTGCTAAAAATTAACATAAAAGTTATAAATCTGCTAAATTTTTCAGAATATAATATAAAATCAATCAGAATATGATTTATAAAAGCAATTTCTTGCAGATTTAAAATACTGTACATTAGTAGTCACTTCATATCAAATTGATGGATCAAGTAATTCTCTGGTTTCCATGGTTTTCAAGTTATCATGACTATCAGAAAATTATATAACAGATGAAATAAAATGAATAATATTAAATGAATTTTGTTCATGTCATCAATAATCAGGAAAAATATGGAAATTTCTGAAACATTAATTAGAGTAATGTAAGTAATAAAATATACAGATTAAATCAAGGGGGAAAAAAATAGAATTAGACATTACATGGAAGAAATAATTTCTCTTTGCAGTAAAGTCTTAAATATTTTGATTAATCTAACAAAAATAGAGCTTCTTACATTATCATATACGAGTTTTATTTTGTCTAAGTTCACTTATACTTTAAATATGAATTCATCTTTAGTTAGATTTATATTAATATTAATCATCATCTCTACTGAAAAATGGTACACATCTATACTTCTCTAGGAAATTTTGCAAATATTAAATAAATTAAATGTACATGCAATATTTATACAGTACTTACTAAAATTTATTCAAATGATATATTAATGTAAGTTTAATATTAAATAAATTATGTTGGTAAACTATACATTAATAATTAATATACACAAAATAATTAGCCTATGCTATTTGGTAAGATTTAAATTCATAACATAATAATAATAATAATACAGTTTAAATTGATCATCTTAAACAACTGACTGCAATATAATAAATATTCATTCTAATTTGAACAATCTTTATTCTATAATTATTAAATATATATTTTCATAAACAATTTAATAATTTCAGACATCAAATTTTCTTTTATACTTATTCCTTAAGAGAGTCAATTTATTTTTCAAACTAAGACTGCTAATAAACTTTTTCCATTAAACAACTAAACTCTACTAACTAGCAAAAAATATTGCTAAAGCATTATACAGTATACTACTCATGTTTGAATTTTGTTCTATGTATTAATGTATTAGTAAGTAAATTTACAGCAAACTGTTGCTTTGGAAGATATATTAGGAATACAAAAAACTATTGTATATGACTAAAAGGAAGAAAGTTATCTTACAAACGGAAAATAATCAAGAATACTTTTTGATTCATAATCATATATGTTTAGTTGCTTAAATTTATAAAACACTAACAATTGATAACAACATTATAACAAATATTACTTAAATGTTTCTAAAAATGTGTGCATTTACTAACAAAACAGAACAGCAGAATGAATTATTTTTAAAAAGACAATAAACATGAGATAAATACAATTAGAAAATTTAAAACTGATTGCATCTCACATGCATCTCTATACATACAGTAGGCTCTTCCATATCAAAACTAATGTGGATGGAAGTGATCCAGATATTAGAAACATTTGGATAAGGGAGTGTGATAATTTTTAAATAAGACTAACATACATGCTTATTATATGTATAAAACTGTTTATTTTGACACTGACACTTATTTTTTACAATTACAATTAATTTTGAAAGTACCATGTTAAAGTTGTTTGTTTTAATCTTCTTGATTCACTAAATGAGCTGTTACATTAAACCAATGTTTCATCATGATCACATCCACAATTGTTGATGAATTATGCTCTCCTACAAACTCCAAATTAATCTTAGTAAAAGAAAAACTTTTTAAATGTACACAATGCAGTATGGAAAAGTAAAGTTCAGAAAATGTACAATTTTTTTCAAAAATTTGTGGTTGCTTTTGATCAGTCTGGATATGGGAGAGTCTACATATGAGAGGGCTGAATGTGGGAGAGTCTATTGTATATATACTAAGAGGCTTGGTCCTCCTAGTTGCCTACAGCAGCCCAACTCCTCGCTTGCCTCATCCACTATTCACATCAAAAATTTCAATAATAGTTATAGTTTTCTCTGTCCAATTCTGAATGAGAATTCCATAACACACTATGTTCAGATCTGTTTAGAAATACACTGCTGCACTCAAATGAATTGGAAAAATTATTTTCCAATTCATTTGTGTGGAGGTATATACAACTAATTGAAAGAACAGCAAGAAATGAAATCCAAAAGACATACAAAAAAGTTTTTATTCAAATCATATAAAACTCTTTTCTTTCAGATTTTCTTCATCAAAATTGAACATAAAACAACCCTCAGATTTCAGAACAAAAAACAAAAAATTATTTTTTATGAATTGGTGAAACATCAAACTTTTTGAACAACCCACAGAAAAATATTCCAATTTCATGATTATGTAGTTCACTTTGCTTGCTCACTGCATGGGTTTGCCCACTTTTTCCAATATAGACTATTCATAAGAAAAGTTTTGAAACAATTCAACCCTCTGCAAGGGACTATTCCTACTCACTTCACTCCCTCAAGAACCCCTCACTTTACTCACTTACTTAAAAACTATGAGACAATTCATCAATTCCCAGTGCCACTATTTTTATTTTGTTTTTCACTACAGAAAAAATATTGTGACAATTTTAAGCTAAGTATTTTATATATATATATATAGACAACAAGATGTAAGTCAATCAACATAAACCAAATTGTACTTTATATTAAAATTATATTATATTAAGATAAATTTAAATTTTAGAGATATATTACAGAATTGAAAAATTC